CTATTAAATCACGATACCTTTGGTAAAAGGGATTCCAAACTTGTGTGGCATATTCCAATTGAGGTCTTATAAGAGATTTATAAAGCAGTAGATAAGTGCCAGATTTTTTTAAATGGCTTACAAGTTCTCATGACAAAACCGTAAAGTTGCAAGGCTTTGTTGATAATGTGGTTAATGTGGTAATCAAAATGAAGTTTGGAATCAAAGAACACGCCAAGGTCTTTAATAAGCGAGACGTTCTCAAGAAGATTATTACAAAGAGAATATGTGAATTTAGTTATATTGCTTTTTTTAGTGAATGTAATAGATTTACATTTAGGTAGGCTAAGAATTAATTTATTTTCAAGACAATAGGAAGATAAACGATCCATGTCATCTTGAAGTAGAACACAGTCATCCAATGTTTTTATAATACGAAAAATTTTTAAGTCATCAGCGTAAAGTAAGAAATGGGAATTTTTAAAACAAGTCGATATATCGTTTATAAAGATTAAAAACAGAAGAGGACCCATTATTGAGCCCTGTGGTACACCAGACGATACATTTATTTCATCGGATGAGAATCCATTAATGACCACCTTTTGTGTCCTGTTTATTATATACGAAGAAAACCATCGCAATAAATTTCCGCGTATACCATTATAAGCAATTTTACGAAGGAGAATATCGTGATCCACCTTATCGAAAGCTTTGCAAAAATCTGTATAAATTGAGTCAATTTGAAGGCGTTTGTCCATATTATCAAAAATAAAGTTAGCATATAAAACAAGATTACTTACAGTCGAGCGGTTTTTGACAAAGCCATGCTGTTCCTGAATTATGATATTGTGTAAGCTTGGATAGATACAGTTATGAACTAACCTTTCCAAGACCTTCGACAAGGTAGACAGAAGCGAGATCGGGCGGTAGTTAGAAACAACATTTTTTGCTCCTCCCTTAAAGACAGGGGTAATATTTGCTGTCTTCAAAACCTTTAGTACGTAACCCTCGCGTAGACTACGGTTGAAGATATGAAAGAGAGGAAAGCTTATGGAGTCTGCGGTATGCTTAAAAAAGAACGGCGGAAGACCATCAGGTCCTGAGCCTTTAGCAACATCTAAGGATTTAAGTGTTCCGATTATAGTATCTAACGAGAAGGATATATCACTTAGAATGACGTTATTAGTAGACGTACACGGCAAGGAGTCAAGGTCTATCAATGCAGCATCACTTACCACATATACAGATCCAAGATATTTTGAAAACATGTTGCATATGTCTTGCGGGTTGTTAGACTGAGAATTATTATATATCATGTTGTTGGGAATGCCATTTTTATCCTTTCGCGTTTTCACAAATGACCAAAACAATTTTAAATCCCTATGCATACCAGTTTCGATTGAATTAATATAAGTGTTATAACATTTTTTACATAATAATTTAAAGCTTTTACGAAATACTGTGAAAATCTTATAATCCGATTTATTACCGTACTTTTTCCATTTAATCCACGCTTTGTCTTTGTTTTTAAAAACATGAATAAGAGGACGTGAGAACCATATAGTAAATTCTTTTGATTTAGTAGGCCGTAAGGGTACATACTTTCTAATAATTTTATTTATCTCCTCATAAAATAAGAATACAGCCGATTCCAATGAGAGCCCGTACAGTATATTGGCCCAATTAATAGAGTTTATCTCACTATTAATATCAACATAATTAGCTTCAATAAATTTATACTTAGGATCTGCACAAGAAATCATTGGTTTTTGTGGTACGTCTAAAAATATATGTGCTATAAAAGGTGGGTGGTAATTATCTATTTGAACCAAGGGAAACAGTGGCAACTCACAGTTGCAAGTATCAGTGTTACTTATAAAGAGGTCAAGAATGCGATCTATAGTATTTTTTAATACGTTATATTGTTTGGCATTCAATAATGACAAAAAGTTAGAAAGTAGTCGGTGGGTAGGTGTAAAGCTATATAGCGGATCACGCATAATTGCATACTTATCATTAAAAACCCATTCCACGTGTGGCAGGTTGAAATCCCCAAAAATAAAAAAAATCATTAACCGCACTAGAAGTCAATTCATAATGGATGGCATTAAATAATAAATCATATGTGTTCATATTTTGGTTTGGGGGAATGTAAACGCCACAAACTACACTACATTCATGGTGCACAGATGTTTCGAATCTTAAAAATACATAGTCAATATTAGAGGGCACATTGCAACATACATTATCTTTAGACGTTGGTGGCGGCCTGATTACGCAACGAATGGCAGTTAATCCACGACTTACCGCCACCAAGACACCACCCCCATCCAATTTACCACAGGCCTCCCAGTCTCTGTCACACCGAAATACTAAATAACGGGAATCCACTAACTCACAATCAGCAATATTAGGTATTAACCACGTTTCAGTCAACACTATAATATTGTTACGCGCCACTATTAATGTCTTGTACATGGCAACACTAGTCACACTAGCGCCCTCTAGTGTCGAGTAGCAGAACTAGGAGAGTCGAGATCCTTCCAGAAATTTCGGGACCGATATGTACTCGAACATTCTAGATGTCGCTACAGTAGAAGGTTCTGGAAACTATCTGAAGCCCTATATAAGGCCGGTATAGACCACGACCGGGGCAGTATTGAATTGGCGATACAAGAGATTACTTCGAAGCGAAATAACGGCGAACTGTGTTTTATTATTAGTGTAATTTTAGATTGTAATTAGTGTTGTGTAATTAAAGTGTTAATTTTGGTAATTCAATCGGCAGTTTTTAATTGTCTCGAATCCCAAGCTCGTAACAATTGGTGTCAGAAGTGGGATCAAATATGCCGATTTTACCTAAAGACGACACGGAGGGTATCCGTACCCGAAGTCAACGCCAACAGGAGACGGACCAGAGACGAATTGGTAATGCAACGCCACAAACGTCGGAGGGGCAGCTGCTAACCACGGAGGCCGGCCCGTCAGCAGCTCCTGCATCTGCAGCACCTGACTTAGGTGCTCTGATGATGATGCTGCAGGATCAGGCTCGCCGACAGGAGGAACAGGCTCGCCGACAGGAGGAACAGGCTCGCCGACAGGAGGAACAGACCCGTCGGTTGGAAGAGCAGCTGCAGCGCGGTATGGAAGAACAGATGCTCCTCAGGAAGGACCTTCACGCTACCTTCGGGAAAGAGATAAAGGAGGTGAAGGATAGGGTTGCTCAACATGACAACCGCCTGTCGGAAGCTGAAACCCGAATCGACCTAGTGAACAATCGGGTTGACAACGTGATGGCTGATGTGAAGAAAACGCTGGACGACCTCAAACTTGGGGATGGAATTACAGCTCCCGTAGTAGCTACAACACCTTCACTACGTGGATTCAAAGTGCCGCCGTTCGACGGGAGTTCTTCCTGGTCGGCCTTCAAAATCCAGTTCGAGGCTGTCATGAAAGCGAACGGCTGGAATAAAAGTCAGGCCATGACTGCTCTCACCCTAGGCCTACGCGACCAGGCCTTAACTGTTCTGGAAGCTCTCGGTAAGGAAGTAACTTACGAGCAGCTCCTTGAGGCATTGGAGGCAAGATATGGCGATGCTCACCTGGAACACGTCTTTCGTGCGCAGCTCAAAGATCGCGTGCAACGCAGTAACGAAAACCTGCAGCAGTGGGCCCTTGAGGTGGAGAAGCTGGTTCGAAAAGCGTACCAGTCTGTACCTGCGCTCATTGTAGGGAACCTGGTGCAGACATTCATCGACGGCATCCGCGACCTTGAAGTCAGAGCTGCTGTGAGGCTCGGGCACCACGAGACGCTTAAGGACGCCTTGACCCATGCACTGGAGGTGGAAGCCGTGCGGCAGGATCATCGTTCCCACCGCGTCAGGGAGGTTGCAGCAGCTACAGTTCAGGACCGCAATAAGGGCTACAGCCCTAGGTGCTACGGCTGTGGGGAAAGGGGCCATCTTCGATCCAGCTGCCCTAAACGAACTGTAGAAAGGGAAGGTGATCGATATCGAGAGGGTAGTGTGGCTGACAGCACCGCCCAGCAACAGCAGGGAAACTGGCGGGTGCTGGCTGATGTTAAAAGAGCCCCAAGGATTTCAATCTCACAAACCCATGATGGGAACAGCCTAATCATCAAGGGCGAAGTCAACGGAACGCCGTGTAAACTGACCATAGACACTGGAGCCTCTTGCACGGTTGTCAGTTCCCAACTTATAAGTCGGTTCCTTGGGGACTCCGCATACAACCTAGAACGCATTAATTTGGTGACAGCCACCGGTCAGCGCATACCCGTCCGTGGAGAGAAGGAGATGGAGTTGAAGCTAGGCAACATGATCTACCTGCATAATGTCATCGTGGCTGATATAATGGACGACTGCATCCTGGGCCTAGACTTTATGAGGAAGAATTGTTGTGAGATCGACGTTAAGCAAGGTGTTTTGAAATGTGGACAAGAGGAACTTTTCGTGGAAGGGGCGTTACCAGGGAATGTGTACAGCCTTAAGAAGATTGTTCTTCCGCCGAGATCGGAAACGATTGTGCCGGTTAGACTTCCACGGAATCCTGGGCAAACTCTTCGTTGTGTACTCGTGGAAAGGGTAGACAATGACCTTCCATGGAAAGTGGCTCGAACCTTGGTCAGAACCGCCGACATCTCAGGAGTACGTGTGCTGAACCTTTGTGATCAGGAACAGATTATAGAAAAAGGCACATTGGTTGGTACTAGTGAGGAAGTGGATTGGTTGCGTCGGTGCGAATATCTATCGACTGTGACCCCCAGCAAGGATGGACAAACTAGAGTGACCACACTTTTAGAAGACTGTCGCAGCGTTCTCTCCCCGAATGAAACGGTCAAAGCGAAGAAGTTGTTACTCAAGTACGCCAATGTTTTCTCGTCAAACGAAGCTGACATAGGAAAGACTAGCTTAGTTCAACACAAAATAAACACAGGACAAGAATTGCCTATTCGTCAGCGGCCAAGAAGATTGCCTGTAGCACGTGAAAAGGAAGTGGAAACCATGATTGAGGGAATGGTGAAGGATGGTGTTATTGAACCTTCATCTAGTCCATGGTGTTCACCTGTGGTGCTGGTAAAGAAGAAGGACGGCAGCATGCGGTTTTGTGTTGACTATCGCCGCCTGAACGACATTACAAAGAAGGACAGCTATCCCTTGCCAAGAATTGATGACACGCTGGATATGCTTACAGGCGTAAAGTGGTTCAGTACGCTAGATCTGAAAAGTGGCTACTGGCAGGTTGAAATTGACCCTCAGGACAAGGAGAAAACTGCATTCTCCACAGGAAAGGGTCTGTGGCAATTCAAAGTCATGCCGTTTGGATTGTGCAATGCTCCAGCAACGTTTGAAAGGTTGATGGAGCTTGTACTTACCGGGCTAATTGGAGATGCTTGTCTGGTCTATTTGGATGACATCATCATCGTAGGCCGTACGTTTGAGGAACACCTTCAAAACCTGGAACGCGTGCTCATGAAGATCCAGAGTGCCAACCTCAAGTTGAGTCCAAAGAAGTGCTCACTATTCAAACGGCAAGTTAGTTTTTTGGGGTATGTAGTGTCGGAAGAAGGTATCCGCACGGATCCAGAGAAAATTGCTGCTGTCAAGGAGTGGCCGGTCCCAAAAGACAAGACACAGGTTAGAGCATTTTTGGGTTTGTGCTCTTATTATCGGCGATTTGTGAAGAACTTTGCAGATATAGCCAAACCTCTGCACAAGCTAACCGAGGAGAAGCGACAATTCTGCTGGGATGAAAGTTGCGATATTGCATTCCAGGAGCTCAAGAACCGCCTGTGCAAAACACCTATTTTGGGGTACCCTGATGCGGGCAAGGAATTCATAGTTGACACAGACGCAAGTGATATAGGACTTGGCGGTGTGTTGTCTCAACGGAATGGTGATCAAGAGATTGTGATAGCGTACTTCAGCAAGTCGTTGTCAAAGCCGGAAAGGAACTATTGTGTCACAAGACGGGAATTGCTTGCTGTGGTAAAGTCCTTGCAGCATTTTAGCAAATATCTTCTAGGGCGGAAATTCCACTTACGAACTGACCATGCTGCACTGAAATGGCTATTGCAGTTCAAAAATCCGGAAGGACAAGTTGCGAGATGGATAGAACTACTGCAGGAATACGACTTTGTGATCGAACATCGCAGCGGGAAATCTCATGGCAATGCAGATGCATTGTCAAGAAGACCTTGCCCTGAAGATTGCAAGCATTTTACTAGGCAAGAGGGTAAGGAAGTGGTATCTGTGAGAATGCTCAGGACAGACCAGCTCAGCAATGAGTGGAAGGACAGCCTACAACATGCACAGCAGGAAGATTCGGACATTAAGCCGATTCTGGAATGGATGAAGGCCAGTGCTCCTAAGCCCAAGTGGAGCGACGTCTCAGCAATGAGTTCGACCACGAAAAGCTATTGGGCCCAATGGGACAGCTTGCTGATTCAGGATGGAGTCCTGTGCCGTAAATGGGAAAATGGTCGGGGAGACAGGTGTCATTTGCAAATGGTTGTCCCTAAGGCTAAAGTGCCGGATATTCTACAGCTGTACCATAGTGGTTGTTCAGGAGGCCACCTGGGAGTTTTACTGGGTCCACTGTCGTGACGATGTCGAGGACTGGTGCCGCAAATGTACAAGTTGTGCGGCTGTAAAGGGACCTCAAATTCGTAGTAGAGGCGCATTGAAATTGTACAATGTTGGTGCACCATGGGAGAGGATAGCCATTGACGTTGCAGGGCCGTTTCCAGAAACTGAAAGTGGTAACAAGTATTTCATGGTAGTGATGGATTACTTCACTAAGTGGCCAGAAGTCTTCGCCATTCCAAATCAAGAAGCTTCAACAGTTGCAGATAAACTAGTTCATGAAGTCTTCTGTCGTTTTGGAGTACCTTTAGAGATTCACAGCGATCAAGGAAGGAATTTTGAGTCTCAAATATTCCAGGAAACTTGCCGAGTTATGGGTACTCAGAAAACACGAACAACTTCTTACCACCCACAATCTGATGGAATGGTAGAAAGATTTAATCAGACATTGGAGAGGTACCTAGCAAAAGTTGTGGAAAAACGGCAACGAGACTGGGACAGGCACATACAACCGTTTTTGTTGTCATATCGAATCGCTGTTCACGAAAGTACATCAGTGACACCAGCTTTCGCAAACTTTGGGAGAGAATTGCGGCTGCCTGCAGACCTGATCACCGGAATACCACCTGATGCCCCACGCAGTATAACCGATTATGCAAATGACTTGCGGAACAAAATGAATGACATTTATGAGCACGTCAGACAGACGGGCCAGCAAACGTCTGAGAAGATGAAAACACGGTATGACCGCAAAATGAACAACAAGGGCTTTGATGAAGGTTCACTAGTGTGGTTACACAATCCAGTTCGCAGCAAAGGGAAATCTCCTAAGCTTCAAGCTAAATGGGACGGACCGTACCGGATTGTGACAAGGATCAATGATGTAACCTACCGGATACAGAAAGGTGCCAGAGGTACTCCTAAGATTGTCCATGTGGATCGACTGGCGCGTTATTATGGGGCCAATAATGCTCGGGACGAGCATGTCTTAGGAGGGGGCAGTGTTACGCGCCACTATTAATGTCTTGTACATGGCAACACTAGTCACACTAGCGCCCTCTAGTGTCGAGTAGCAGAACTAGGAGAGTCGAGATCCTTCCAGAAATTTCGGGACCGATATGTACTCGAACATTCTAGATGTCGCTACAGTAGAAGGTTCTGGAAACTATCTGAAGCCCTATATAAGGCCGGTATAGACCACGACCGGGGCAGTATTGAATTGGCGATACAAGAGATTACTTCGAAGCGAAATAACGGCGAACTGTGTTTTATTATTAGTGTAATTTTAGATTGTAATTAGTGTTGTGTAATTAAAGTGTTAATTTTGGTAATTCAATCGGCAGTTTTTAATTGTCTCGAATCCCAAGCTCGTAACAATATCAAAACACTCGGCAAGAATATTATTGTATAAAGTATTAAGTTTGGTCCGTAAACCTCTGCAGTTTTGATAATAAATACTTAATTTATTATTCACTCACAATAAAAAACATATAAATAATTGTTACCATGTTGGTTAAAAAATAGGCTAAAATAATGGAAGGCGATAATTTGTTATTGCGTGTGTAAATTAAGTGACAATTAACGCAGTTTACATCATACGTAACCATCAAATCTGCAATTAAATGTTTTTTTTACACACATCATTCTAGTATTGCATACAGAATGTATAACAAAGTGTCGCATAAAACTATAAAAACAGTAAAAACTAAGTTTTAACTTCAATAATTCCTGACAGCAGGTAGCGAATATTAATGCGGGGTATTCGGGAAAACACTCGAATACTTGCGAAGTCGCAGAGTAATGTACGCTTGAGAGCGCTCGCCTCAAACAATCAAAGAGAGTAAACACTAAGCACCTAATCTCACTATAGCGTGTATAAAGTTGACAAATATCAGCTTTGCCGATCAAACCACCCAAAATTAAAGTAAAAACGTAAATATACAGAAATACAGTATAAAACCTTAGACTATGTTGCGGGAACATTTATTGGTTTAATTTTAAGTAAATCCTCTTCAGAACGTATAGTAAAGGCAGGGGAGGTGTCTTTTGCCCGAACAAGGATGTTTCCATGTTTGACCCAGATGAATCTATATCCATGCTGTCTGACTGCATCTCTTGCTCGACGAAATAGCTTTTTATTCTTTAACGTTAGATGCTCGTTGATGTAGATTTTGTGAGACGTTCCTTCAATTTTTAGTTGTTCAGATATAATATTTTTATTAAGACGTGCTGCAGATATAAAATTATCACGCATTATTTGACTAGAGAATCTGACAATTATATTCTTCGGTCGTGAGCTAGTCGGATTTAGTTTTTGTACGCGATGAACGGCTACAATATCTTGTGAAGTAACCGGCTGTTTTATAATACTGGCTATATTTTGCACTACACTTAACAAATTCTCGCCACGCCTTTCAGGAAGATTACTAATTTCGGCATTACAACTTCTCGATATTTGCTCCATATAATCCAGTCTTGTCTGAAGCTCGACGAGTTGAATATGATCTGACTCTGGGGAGATAGACCTTGATTTTTTTTCCAGGTCGCTAAGTCGATTGTCAACATCCTCAATTTTCTTATTTAAGTCGTCGAAGATGTCACTCATAACTCCTATTGAGGTCTTGACGTCTTCAGTATCTTTTACCAGCTTGGAGATCTTTTCATCTTGTCGTGAGAAGTAGTTTTCCATCATGCTTAGAATTTTATTCTGGAAGGACTGGAGCTCACTCCTGAAGTCTGGATCTGTAGAGCTTGAGGCTGCTTTACGAAATGTCACAAAAGGTGGAGGTGACACCGTTTCAAGGTTTTCGTCTACGCTCATGTCACCAGACCTAAGCGGTCCTTCGCTGTCGCTTGACTGATCCTTTCGACAAAATGTGTTGTTAAGTTTATCCATGATATTACTATAGCACAGCACGCAATAGAATAGAATAGAATAGAATAGAATATATTTTTATTCAATATACATTACATGTGTAATTCTTATTGAAAGTCATTTTTTACTTTACCACTGGTTCGAAAAAAACCTCTGTCCTGGGAAGAACCAGCAAGAAACCCAGCGGGACTTTTTTTTTTAAATAAATTTTACAATATAAATGATTAGGAACTATTTACAAAATTTATTTTAGAAACTGCTTGGAAGCGATCACCTCATTCCCAGGGGTTATTATCAACCATGTATTCATTTATACTATAATAACCCTTTTTATACAGTTTCAGCTTAATAAAACATTTAAACTTGGTAATAGAGAGAACCTGTACACTTTCCGGGACCTTGTTGTAATAGCGTATACATTGCCCCAAGAATGAATTACTGACTCTGTGGAGACGAGAAACTGGTATCACTAGCTTGTGTTTGTTCCTAGTGTTTACAGAATGTATATCACTTCTTTTACTAAAACTATCTTTGTTTTTGTGAACATACATTAAATTTTCGTAAATATACTGAGAGGCCAAAGTTAATATATTAATTTCTTTAAATTTATCTCTAAGAGACTCTCTCGGTTTTAGATTGTAAATAGCTCTAATGGCCCTCTTCTGTAAAACAAAAATAGTTTCTGAATCAGCCGCATTTCCCCATAGCAAAATCCCATAAGACATTATGCTATGAAAATAACTAAAATAAACTAATCTAGCTGTCTCGACACTAGTGAGACCTCTAATCTTTTTTACAGCATAGGCTGCAGAACTTAGTCTGCATGCTAATTTGGATATATGGGGGCCCCACTGGAGCTTTGCGTCAAGAGTGATGCCAAGAAAAACAGTGGATACAACAGGGCTCAATTCCTCCCCATTTAAAAACACATTGGTATTCAGATTTTGAACATTCGTTGTTGTAAATTTAACACAATTAGTTTTATTTCCGTTCAAATGCAGATTATTAACGTTAAACCAATGCACTAATTTTGATATAGCATTATTCACTTCGTCACATTTAAATGAATGACGTTTAAGTTTAAAAATCAAGGAAGTATCATCAGCAAATAATACTATATCATGACTATCCCCTACAAGGTGAGGTAAGTCATTAATATACACCTCTATACCAGTTATTACTCTGTGCCAAATAAACAATAGCGCTAACGCTGCGTCGTGCCGCGATGCTGGCCGGTTAAGACACACGCACACTGATAAACTACTCGTACACGGAAAGCTCTTGTACGTTAGGCACAGGTGATGCGAACGACGTCACGCGCGCGAATGATGAAATGCGCGAATGATGTTTGTTAAAAGTATTGAAATAAAGGATCTGAAATATCACAACATACTATAATGAATAAAGCATATAATATAGCAGAATCGTGGTAAATCATGAACATACACAAAATATTCTGCGTGAGTTCATTGAATATTTCCAAATCCTCAAACAATCTAGATATTACTAGCATAAGCCATTTCAGTCACGTTTCAGTATGTCTACGAAATTCATTCTTCACGTAAATAATTTTTTCATTCAAGTTCCGCTCCAGTAACATTATGTATTGATTTAAAAATATCTATGTCCATATTTTGTCGACAAATTTTTTGTTGGGTAATTTTTCTGACTGTTTTTTAAGTTTTGGTAATTGCAATATTACGTTTGCTATTAAAATCATATTTCTTTGTAAACTATTACTGTCACGTAAAAGGAAAGATTCACGGCATGGTTCAATTTGATTGGCAAAATTCTCTTATGCCTTCGAAGTATTTTAATTTCTAAAACATGCAGGTTTGCTTGCGATCATTTTAATAACGACTATGTGTAATTTCCACTGTACTATTCTCTAAAATAATGTCTATGTAACAGCTAATTTAAGTTTAAGTTACTATGGATAATATACTATAGTTTAGCCAGCTAAACTTAGGTTTAGATAGCAGCATACGGTTTATTCTATTATTTATTATTTATTTATTCCAGCATACGGTGCAAGAGTGATTCTTCTCCAGTCCAACCGTCTCTTTGTGCTGCAATCATATTATAGATGTAGCATGGTACCACGTATACCTACTGTACATATTATATTCTAGTTTATGCTTACGAA